CAGTGTACTTGTGCTTAGAAGATAAAAGATCTCAAATTATTTTGTTCATTTTAGTTTCACATATTCTTCAAGGTTATCAGTTATTCTGGCTATTAGAGAAATGGGTGGGAGAAGGAAGGTTTTATGCAATCTTAATTTTTAAAACATTAAGTACTGGTACCTATTATTTTCCAAATACTTTCAAGGGCCTTTTCCTAGAATCAGGTAAATGAGAGCAGGCAAGTGACCTACTTACAGCAAAAATTGCTCTGGGTTAGAAAGGATGGGAAGCCAAGTGCATCCTGAAAACCATAGCATCTGGTCTTGTTTTATGCATCATCTATCAATCTGTTGTTACAGGAATTGAGAATTAACATTTCAACTATTGTTTCTTCTATTTTAACTAATGCATTTATATCTTTGTTATTCTTACCCAATCCTTCCCACCTCCTCCCCATTTAAAAAACCATAGGCAGGGGCATTATGAAGGTGCCAGTTGAATCCTAGGGAGATCACTCTTTCATCTATGCCTCAAAACTTCTGCTAATGAGGCTATATAGTAGGGTTAGATATCTGAAGCAATTCTGGTTTTGCTCAATTCCGATTTTTCACAGATAGTATCATTTGAACAGTACTTATTGAAGTTAAATAAAATATTGTGGATTGTAAATTTCCAAGTTCTAGAAAACATTTTGTGGTAGAAGTTTTTTAAAACTACACTTGGCAATGCTGTTTAAGAAAAAGGTTATGTAGAAATGCAGATTGTGGATTAGTACTACCCTGATAGCATAAGAAAATTATATATAACTTCTTTTTATAGATACTCATTTAAAATTATGTGTAAAGTTTAAAAACATAAAAGTATGGAAAGTAGATTTATAGCAATATGTTCTTTGAACTTTGCTGTTGTTTTTTTTTTTTTTCTAGTTCTCTCCTTTTTACAGAATGGAGTTATCAATTCATCTTTCTACTACTTCCAATCTTTTGAAATTTTAAATTTCCATTTTTTTTCCTTGATTCTATCTTATTTCTTCTTATTATTTTTTAGTTTAGCTTTTTTTAATTTTTAAAACAAGTTTATGGGTACACAGTAGGTGTGTGTATCTATGGGGTACATGATATATGTTGATACAGGCATACAATGCGTTGTAATCACATCAGAGTAAATGAGGTATCCATTACCTCAAACATTTATCATTTCTTTGTTACAAACATTCCAATTATACCCTTTTAGTTATTTAAAAATGCACACTAAATTATTGTTGACTATAGTCATCCTGTCATCAAATACTAGATCTTATTTGTTCCATCTAACTATATTTTTGTACCCATTACCATTCTCACTTCCCTCCTACCCACCACTATTCTTCCGAGCCCTCGATAACCATCATTCTACCCTCTATCTCCATGAGTTAAACTTTTTTAATTTTTAGCTCCCACAAATGAGTGAGAACACGCAAAGTTTGTCTTTCTGTGCCTGGCTTATTTCACTTAATGTAATCTCCTACAGTTCTGTCCATGTTGTTGCGAATGACAGGATCTCATTTTTTAAAATGGCTGAATAGTTACTCCATTGTGTTCTATATTATTCTGTCTATTGTAGCTTCAAGTACAGCTTCAGGTATAGCTTCATATTCTTGCTTTACTTTTCTTTCTCCACCCATTCTACTTCATTTACCTTATCAAAATAATGGTTCATATGATTCAGAAGACATGATTTAAAAACTTAAAAAATAATAATTGAAATTATCCTTTTATGATATTTTTAAAAGAACCAAGGTAACCAAGTGACTTATACTGGCATAATTACTGCTACAAAATTTTATGTATTTGTTGAAGTTCTATCCTTTCTAAATCACTGTCAAGTGAATTACTTCTAATGAGCAATGAATAGAGTCAGGTTTACTGTGTTTACTTATTCAAAGATTTCAGATTTGTTTTTCCTTCCAAAGGGGTTCTATCCTGAATCTCGTCATGAGGCTTCCTTGCCTTGATTTCTTGATGTATTCCAGTTGGGTTAAAGGTTCAGATGACCAGATAGGCCTTTTAGGTTGAGGTGATGGAGATTTTTGCAAAAATACATCTACAGTCTTCATTCACTAGGGCAGAGTTTCTCAAAATATGTTCTAAAACTACCTATATCCCAATCAGCTCAGATGTTTGTTTACTGATTTATTGATAGTCTTAAACAATAGAAATTTATTTCTCCCAGTTCTGGAGGCTGGGAAATCCAATATACTGGCATAAGCTGTGTCTGGTGAGGGTACCCTTCCTGGCTTGCAGACAGACACCTTCTTGCATCCTCACATGGCAGAGAGCCCAGATGCTTATTTTAAAATGCAGATTTCTAGGTCAAAACCTAGAACAGTTGAATGGGAGTCTCTGAAGACTGGGAGCCAGAAATCTGCATTTTGTCAAGTTGTACAAATTAATCCATATACAATGAAATTTGAGAACACCTAATTTTATTTTATTTATTTTTATTTATTTATTTACTTTTTGAGATGGAATCTCACTCTGTTGCCCAGGCTGGAGTGCAGTGGCATGATCTCAGCTCACTGCAACCTCTGCCTCCCAGGTTCAAGAGATTCTCCTGCCTCAGCCTCCCAAGTAATTGGGATTACAGGCACCTGCCAACACACCCAGCTAATTTTTGTTTTTTTTTTTTCAGTAGAAACAAGGTTTCACCATGTTGGCCAGGCTGGTCTTGAACTCCTGACCTCAGGTGATTCACCCACCTCGGCCTCCCAAAGTGCTGGGATTACAGGTGTGAGCCATTGAGCCCAGCCGAGAATACCTAATCTAAGGAATTATTTTTTCCCACCAAGTATCTGGTGCATTAACTTTGGTTGCAGAGCAAACTGGCTACACTCCATTTAATAACAAAAATGGAAAATTTAGTACCATTTTATGGCAGGGAAGAACTGCCATAACTATTTTAAGAGGTATTGATAAAGAAAACACACACACACAAAAAACCCAAAAACTTTCTACAATAAAGTAATAATTGTTTTTAATAGCTTGATTCTAACAAAGAGCAAAGGCCTAGAAAGTCTACAGTCTGCTCTAATTTCCTGATTAATATTATATATAATGAATTATTTATTGAGCCCCTACTGTGAGCCAAATATGGTATTTGTGTTGCCAGGGATTATATAAAGCTATCCCGGTATGAAAAGCATATGTTCACTCTGCTCTATTCTGGAAGAACCTCATTGATTTGATGATTGCTGAAAATGAATGTACTTCACGTCTTAGGCCCAGACATGGAAGCTTTCTTAAGGATTCGCTAAATGAAATTATTAGGTCCAAAACACACAGGTGTAGGCATTTGGTTTACAGCTGAACCACTGGAAAGGGAGTCAGTGAGGTGTAGCACTTTTCGAGCTTGTGGACTCTTTACTGTCAGCCTTGATGACTTTATTTAAGAGTTTCCTTTCCTGCGCAATCATCCCTCAGATATTAGGCAGATGAATTGAAACTAAATGTAACCATATTGGGAACTCCATTTCATTGTAGAATTCATTTAGGATGTCTTTAGTAAAGTGACTCATGATTTGCCTGAGACTTTCTCAGCCAGTCTTATATCCCAGCAAACCTTTTAGTCTCATGCAAACTGAAACTGGGTAGGCTGGTCACCCTGGTCCTTAGAGGAGGGCGGGTGAGGCTCTTAGTTGAACCAATTTCACTCAGCAAATGAATGAAAATCCATTACCACCTTGAATTTCTCAGCTCATTTTCCTTACCAGTAGGTATAATTACCCTATTGGGGCACAAAACCTGTTTCTTTCCTTTAGTGGCCATTCCCTTTTAGTCCTGTCAAACCATGTGCCCATGAGCCTCCCAAACAATGATTCAGCTTGGGATCATCCAACGACCCAGTGGAGAGTCTCTTGAAAGTCTGCCGAGCACTGATAGCCTCTGTTTTTGTTTTTGTTTTTTTTTCATTGTTGTTGTTTGTTTTTAATGAACATTGTCCTGGTCTCATAATCTTCCTGTTATTCTCAAAGGTCTATCTCTCTAAATAATTAGTCTAGCAATCCCAAACCTAGCTTCACATCAATTTTTTTTAAAATTAGGAATGTAGGCATGCACATACATAAAAGCCTTAAATACTAAAAAGGCATGGGTATAAAACATGAACCATTTACAGTATTAAATTCCATTCTGATTCCTGTCCATGAACTTAATCACAGTTTTCAACATTCATGCATCCCTTTCATCCCTTCCTTTAAAGCTTTGTGATTTTGGCATTTCATGGTCTTACTTTCAACTAGATTTTAAAGTTTAGCTCATATTAAATTACTATCTCAAAGAGAAAATGTAAAGTACAAGGTTTGAATTAGGCAAATCTGTGTCTCAATGAAATTGTTGCCTTTATTTCCTAAGTATATGAACTTAGAAAAGTTTCTCTAAGCTTTAAAATTTGCTCATTAGTAAAAACGGAGAAAATAATAGCTATTTTAGAGGATTTTGGGGTATTTAGGTTATGCATATAAAGCACATGGCAGCATATTGCCCCATCCCAGCAGACATTTACTAGGTATTATCTTTACCACATTATTACAAGTTTGTAACTAGTAACATTTGTTAACAATCAGGCTGCAAAACTGTTATTATTATTGAGACAGGGGCTTGCTCTCACCCCTAGGCTGGAGTGGAGTGGCTTGATCACTGCAGCCTTGATCTCCCGGGCTCAAGCGATTCTCCTACCTCAGCCTCCCAAGTAGCTAGGACTACAGACATGTGCCACCAAATCCAGCTAATTTTTAGGTTTTTGTTTGTTTGTTTGTTTTTTGTAGTGACGAATTCTCATTATGTTGTCCAGGCTGGTCTCGAATTCCTGACCTCAAGTGATCCTCTCGCCTCGGCCTCCCAAAGTGTTGGGATTACAGGCGTGAGCCACTGCGCTGGCCAAGTTGCAGAATTGTTTAGCCATCAAAGATGATGCCTCAAGTAGAAAGGCACAAACTGCCTTCCTGAGGAACACAGGGAGAACTCTCATTACATCATAGTCTCACCGACTCTATCTGAAGGAAGTGATGCTTCTTATATCTTCGGAGTGTCTAACATCATCTGGCCCCCTGGCAGTCTGTGTATTCAGGAGGTTCTGGCTTTCAGGTTTGCTCCCTTGGGACCTCTTATGTCACGTCGCTCGTTCTGGAAAGGGAAACGGGTAAAAGAAAAAGGGAAATCACCAAAATGCAAAATCTGTTGCCAGTTGCCCTATTCCGTCCCAACTACTGGGGCTGCTGGCGTGGGCTGCTAAATCTTTTCGCGGAAAGATTTCTCAGGCGCCACCCTCAGGTGTTTGTCAGCACAGAGATGGGGGAGGAGGGCGAGCTCACCCTAGAATTGAAAGGCAGGTGGTGAGGGATGAGGGGTGAGGTGTGGGAGGTGGCCATGAGCTTCTGCGTTTTGGCCAAAGTACAGACACAAAGCCGCGGCGTGAGGGTTTGCAGAGTGGTGGGAAGGAAAGAATGTCTTTGCTGGGTACGCAGAGCATTTCTGCACTCTCAAGAAGGCTGCCCGATTTGTGAGGGTTGCGCCCGGAGCCCGCGAGAAGGGCAGGGACTTTCTGTGATAAGCGCCTTCCCAAATGTGGTGTCTGTTACACTCAGAGCCTCAGCGAGTGCTGCTGGCAGACACGCCGGCTTCGCAGAAAGTCTCCGTCCGGCAGGTAGCAGGTTAAGCAAGCATCGGGTGCGCGAATTTGCTCTCGCTCACCATTTCTAACCCTGGGAGCACGCCGCATTCTCGCCGGCGACCGCGGGTCGCGCATGCTCCTTGCGAGCGAGTGGGTCGGGGCTCCCGCCGGAAGCGTTCTCTCCCAGGCTGCATTTCCTTCCTGTGCGAGGCCGGCTGAGGGCATTTGCTCCCGCTGTTTCTGCTCCTGGGTGAGTAGCGGGTTCCCGTGGGGCCTCATGGGATGGGTGTCGTATCCTGCTGAGGTCCTTTAAGGACCGTCTCAAACCTGGGAACCCCCGGAGGAAAGGTCACCCCGGTCTTCTGCCACGCCTCACCTCAGTGCCGCCCCCAAGCGCCCCGCAGCCCTTAGTCTCGAGAGGATTAACCTCCAAGGGCGTCCCGGGCCTCGCCTTGGCGTCCGGCCCGGCCTGAGTCCTTAGGGTCTGCTTAGCTCCTCCCCAAACTCGTGCCATTCCCGAGGGAATCTTTGTCGGCTTCCTGGTCACTGTGGGTGTTTGGGGTCGTCCCGGAAGACTTCAGAACCAGGCGAACCTAGACGAAGGCGGCTAGAATGAACCAGCTCTGATTGTCGCACGGGCGACAATCACCTTGTGCAGACTCGAAGGTGCTTCTTCAGGGCCGGGCACGCTTTCGCAGAAGATGGTGATGTTAATAATAACCTGCTCTCTGTGGATATTGGCAGGCCTTCATTGTCATAGCCTGTATCCGTAGGGCCTTTATGTCTGCAAAACCGGGACTTTTGAGTTTGAGAATCCATTTGTGAAATACTGCAATGAATTAGGAGAGAAATGCTACAGTGAATGCTATGCTATGAATGCTGTACATGTAAATAAATTGCTCATAGATGAGACAGTACGATTTCATAGTTTTCCACTCGGAAATGGAGAACTTAAAATGAAACGGCCTGATACCATATTTGCCTAGCAAATAACTCTAGGTTATAGTGTTTTAGGATGTTTCTTAGTTGCTTACAGCATTGTCATCGTATATGTACATATTTGTGTATTCATTTTGTTGAACTTAATGTTTATACAGGATTGAAATACACTCTCTGCTGTTGTATGCACATGCAGCTTTTATTGTATGTTCGCTCTAATGCTATTGTTGCTGTAACAGCCTTACATTGCAGGTATATCAATACCAAATGAATGGTACATGAGTGTACAATAAAGTATATAGTTACAGTCTACAAAACAAGTTTCAGTTTCATTGAAGGATTTTGAAGTAATTTAAAAAGATGGACTACTATTTTACAAGTGGCCTTAGTAGACCTAGGTCTTTACTACATTAAAAATTTCAGAATTGGGAAAGATATAAACGGGTTTTGTATCTTGAACTTTTATGGGATTAAAAGTTGTTACTATCTTGATGACTGGGATGTGTTCATAACAGCCCTAATTTGTTCATGTAGTTCAATGAATATCCAATAGATGACAGTTTTATCACTCTACCCACTCTAAACAAATGAAAATGTTTTACTGGAATGCCACCACTTTTCACATATCAAGTTAATAAAACCCTTATCTTGTCTAAATTATTTTCATCTGTGAGTATACCCCACGTAGTGATATAACACGTTTCAACTGCATTTTCAACTTTGTGGAATAAAGACTAGAAAAGTCAGTTTTTTACTTCCTATGAGAAGTGAAATATTGTGTAACCCATTTTTTTTGGAATCCATGCTGATTGAAGATAGCACACTTTGATTTGTTCCATGAGGAGAGATTTCAGTTAGGTGCCTTCTCCTGTTTGGCTTCTTTTGCTTTCTTTATAATTAATATAATAGCCGGACAATGTGTTCTTTGAATAAAGTGGTGATATCTTAACAATTATTGTATACTCAGTATATAGTGGGCGTCATATATAGATGTTCGGTAAGTGCTAATTGAATGAATTAAGTCACTTAACATCCCTAGGTCAAAGTTTCTTCCTCCAAAATGAACGCTTTCAATTATTTAGTTGTGAAGTTTAAATTAAATATAATTATTGTGAAGCGAATGGCTCCTAATAATGGAGAAATGTGGAACGTTTTGGAAATCCTTCAGAAGTCTGACAGTGACTCTGTTGGAATGATTGGGAGTTTTTCTTCAGTTGCAATTTATCGGTTGAACAGATAATTTTTGAATAGCCTCTGTGTGTGGCAATTATAAAGGCCTGTTTTGTGCATAACAGTTATAAAGGTACATAAGATATACATCTTGTTTAAAAGGATTTAAATTCTAGTTGAGTAGATATCTCATAAGGTCAATAATGATTAAAAGCAAGACTTTTTTAAGATATTATAATAGGGCAAAATGAATAATACAGAAAATTCATGTGATTTGAAAGGATTTATGGAGCAGATGAAGTTGATTTTTGAAGTTAGGATAGAATTTGACTAGTTTGAAGGTGAATGAGGGTAAATGGCCCATGCAGGGTACTAGACAGATATCCTGAAGGGAAAATATGTGTGGGATTTTCAGATACTAGTGACTACAGCTATTTAGAGTCCCTTTGAAAAGGGGTGAAAGATAAAATGCTTAAAATTGACCCTGGAGCTAGATTCTAGATTAGAATAGTTTTAAATGCTTGGGAATCCTGTAAAGGGAATACTTTGGAGTCTTTTGATTAGAGAGAAGAAGTATATATCCTTGAGTGGAGGTGAGGTGTATAAAAGGAAATAAAAAAATTTTGGAGCTATTCTAGAGGGAGGAAGGTGAAGAGGCTCTTTAATTTAGTAGTAGTGAGAGGAGAATTTTAGAGCTGGAAGGACTGTGGATATTTATGCAGTACCTAATTTTTATCTGTGCTGAGCCATACCAATTCTGTTTTTGTCATGTTTATGAGTGCAAATACATATTCTCTTTTTCTTATATATTCCATAGCATTCAGCACACTCCTGTACTGAAAGTATAATGGCATTATTTGAAGCTAAGATCCTATCTCCCAAAATGTGATAGTCATATCACCCCTAACAAGCTTATTCTTCTGAGTAGTTATTGCCGTTGACAGAGGAGTGTATGTCTTCTGTAAGCCTAGCTTTGATTGATGTAGCTGTTCAGGGATATATGCAAAAGTAGGCACATTTACCTCTTTTTTTTTCTCTTTAGCTTGGGTGAGTGCTGTATTCTTGTAGTAGTTGTCTCAGTTCAAGATTTTTCCAAGTTCTATTGCTTCCTACTTAGCTGGGTTGTTGGGAGCAATAGTGTGACTCAAAAAATTTAATGCCACTTATTAATTGAGAAAATGGCATGTTTAAATTTAAGCAGGCCTTGAAAACCTTTAAAAGTAGGTATGAGGAAAAAGTGAGTGAGTTCACAATTTGAATTTCACTCAGAAATTACCTGGTGTACATTACAGTTAATAGAAGAAATTCTTACCATCACATTAGTATTGTCGGGCCGCCTTTCTTCAGTGGGATTAGTGTTGTAGTCGATACTTTCCTAGACTCTGAAATAGTTCTTTAAAGCTGTTTGAGTAAATACCTTAAGATATTTACTGTATTTTTCAAATAAAATGATTAATTCTACCAAATAAATCTGAGTTTCTAGTCTACTTCTAGTTTGCAAGAGGAGCTTTAAATGTATTTGTTTACTTAACATTTAAAAATCCATTTCTCCTTAAAATGAAACACTTTGTTTAAGGTAGGTAATATTTTAATTTGACTAGAAGTTAGTTTTTCTTGCTTAGTTTAAGCTACTTTGTTAGTCTCCCAATTTTAATAAGTATAGTTATTACCTAGTGACATTTCTGTTTGTTTTTTTTAAGGTTAACAATCAAGATGGTACATGCTGAAGCCTTTTCTCGTCCTTTGAGTCGGAATGAAGTTGTTGGTTTAATTTTCCGTTTGACAATATTTGGTGCAGTGACATACTTTACTATCAAATGGATGGTAGATGCAATTGATCCAACCAGAAAGCAAAAAGTAGAAGCTCAGAAACAGGTATGATTGAAATGTCTGAAGATCACTTTTCTTGTGGCTAACAAATATTTTCCCCTCAAACTAAAAATTTGATAGAGTTAACAAATTAATGAGAAATGCTGTAAGACTCACATGAAAATGTATTGGTACTCGTAGTTAATTTTATTACTCTTACAAAGTACTAGTTTATTATGACATTATTTCAAGTCATTTTTACTATAGAAACAACTTATCAGAAGAAGAGAAATGAAGAATAAAAATATAATATTGTGAACATGTTCATTAGAATATTTTTGTCAGCTTTCAAGGTAGGATCTAGGTAAAATTTTTTAGGTTAACCCAAAATATTTATCTTCAGTAATGATATTCCTTTTGCTGTGTATGACTTCTGAAATGTGGATAGTACTGAAACATTCTCAGTCTTAAACTTATAAGCTACACTAAAATCTGATTAATAAATGGCTCTAAAAGTTGTTGATTGTTAATAATAAGCTGTAGTTTTGAACTTCTCATCTGCTGCCTCTTGTGGTCATTTCCTTTTAAAAGTGAT